AATTTTGTAGCGAGGATAGATAGTACTTTCGATGATAGGAATATAAAAGAAATCTATTTTTCGAGCCCAGATCGAGTGGCACGCTGTTACAGAGATGCCCTCTTAAACACTTTGCTGGGCTCAGATCAGGACAGTAACAGAGGACTCGCGTGAACAGAAAGCCAAACTGTCCCAGTTTTCGGAAGGGACCCAAACTTGAACGGTCCCATGTGAACGAAGTCTAAGTCACAGAGACTTAATCGGGCACTACCAAACATGATGTGCCTAAGTCACACAGACTTAATCGCGCACTATCAAACATGATGTGATGACCATGATTCGTGAATTTAATTCTTTACCAACCTAAACCTCTTTGGTCCACCTGACACTCTGAAATTTCACCAGAGCTATTGTAATCCATGATTACATGGGATAGATAAGAGTTAAGAATGAAGACCATAAAACAGGCACGATGCGAACGCACGATAGATGTATTTTAATGATAGTTGAAAAGGTTTGTAGAAACCGTTAGTTAACGTGTACGGTTATGTAATTGTAGCGTGGTTCGAACTGGAATAGATACAAAAAATCCTAGGTTACGATATAAATTGTTAATGTAGTCTGAATTACAATACGTGGCTTTACAACGCTACTATCGAACATCAAGATTACAAACATGAAAAAATGGTCTAAAATTATTACACGACGAATTATCTATAGAAATGTTACTTGAATATTAACTAACTATAAATCAGTTACGGTCGCTAGATAGAGTTCTAGATAGAGTAGTTGTAAATCCTTCAATGCTGAGAGCTGGTGCGCAAATAGAGTATTGAATTACGGTACGTGGCAGTTCTTTCACGAATTAATCATTAACCGTAAGTAAACAAAAATAATTGAGCAAAATAAGAATAATTAAATAATTGTGAATAACAGCTATTATGGAATTAAAGCTGATTTTGTCTACGTTCCTGCCAAGAGTCCACCTTGTCGTGACGCAGATATGTACCAATTGACCCTTGCAGATTTGTCAACAGTGTACACTCCGAAAACTCTACCATTCCAAGTTTCATTATGTGGTCCACAAATCTTAATATCGTCGCTGGATTTTAAAAAGACTAGCACTTGAAGACAACTCTAAGGTTTCTCAAAATCGATGGGCAAGAAGTACACCAGTTAAGAGGGCTTGCATCATGTGGTCATTTGTAGTACCTCTAAATTTGTTCACAAGCAATTTATGAGGATTACTCAAGTAGAAAGAATGGTTGATCTTTATCTAACATGGAAGGGTCAAATTTGTACTTAGATTCTAATTTCAGCTGAGAAAGTGGACGAAGTATTCGCGAGTACAGCATTGATATTTGACTCGCATACGGCATCCAACGAGCGACAATTATGGCTACACAAAGTCATGCCAGGTCGGAAACCCTCTTGCGCAAACCCTAATTATAAATAACAAATTGAACCGGGAGACTTATGCATTGCTGTAGATGGTTTATATATTCTGCCAAACGATGACAAACGTTTTGCTGTTAAGCGCACTTATAGGTTTTGTATAAACAAAGGCTGTATCATCATACAGCCTAAACAAAGTAACTTGAAAGTGCCGCCATCAAAAGTTAGCCTGGATGAAAACCAATGCTGTACTCCAAATGAGTACCATGAAAACATCATTATGGTTGATACTTAGAGTGTTTTTCAAAAAGTACCGTGTATTAAAGCGTATTCATGTGTATGTTACCTTTAGTTTTTGTTATTCCTTTATACGACATGTTAAAAAACTAACTAGAGTGAAATAAATTTTATTACTGGTAAATACGCTAGTAATTGTTTCACGGGTTTATATGAAAACCACTGTACATACTGTGATGGCGCCAGCTCGCTTGAGAGGACCGCGGAACGAATAACGACGAAAGGGCCTTGATACCAAACAGAGAAAAGAGCAACGTCGAGTCACGTCTTTACCCGTCGAAATCTTGACGGCCTTTAATTCGGTCGTACAAATCATATACATTAAAATATCAGATTACAAACATTGATTGTTGCTATKAGCGCTTAATCCTTAATCAAATAAAGCCAGATATATAAAATTACAATAATTCGCTGAGAGACAATAAAACAAATAAATATAAAATCAAAATACAATCAAATGTAAACCGAAGCTGAGGGCGTACCAACGCCGTTACACTGCTTCCCTAAATGCTTGTCATTTATAGAATCAAAACTTATATGAAAATGGATATAAAAATGCTGAACACGTAGACTAAAGATTAATTATAAACTAATTAAAATTCTCTTTCTATGGCTTGATAATTCCAAATAATCAGGTAGTCTCCGTATGACTAATATGTGGTGAACATAAACAATAACTCTTGTCTTGTTGTAGTATCTAATCAGTATACAAGTACGTTATATCAATATAGTGTCTCTCGTAAACTTATCAATTATTCTCTTGTTCTTCCTTTGATAGCACTAGTATCAGTTTATGGATAGGTCTTTCGTAGAACCTTCGCTGTCCATCTTGCGCAGTCTGGATTTCAACTTTGCGCACTATGCCGTCTTTACCGGGAAGGGTCTTCGTTACCCTGGCAAGAGGCCACTTGTTTCTTGGGCATTCGTCTTTGAGGAGGACAATGTCACCCACCTGATTGTTGCGCTTGGGGACAGTCCATTTTCGTCTACAGTTGAGGTGGTTGAGATACTCTTTCCTCCATCGTGTCCAGAACTGATCCGCAATATACTGGACACGACGCCATCGCTTTCTGCAATACACATCGGGACTCTCGAACTTTCCAGGAGGAGGTAGTACTACAGCTGACTTTCCGGTCAGGAGGTGGTTTGGAGTAAGGGGCTCTTCAGCTTTTGGGTCAGATAGGTCTGTCACTGTGAGGGGGCGGCTGTTGATGATGTTCTCCGCTTCTGTCATCAGCGTTCTGAAAGATTCGTCATCTAGCTGGCTACCCAGCTGGTTGAGTAGTGATGACAACACTGAACGGGTTGATCGTATCATGCGCTCCCACACACCGCCCATATGAGAGGCGTGGGGAACGTTGAATTTGAACTCAATGAGCTCACAGTCATTCTTCAATAAGAATTCTTTTACTTTGCCTTTTTCCACTTCAGATTCAGCAGCGATGAACTCGTTTTTGGCTCCAACAAAATTCGTGCCTTGGTCACAGCGTAATACCCGTACTTTTCCTCTGCGACTGAGGAAACGTCTAAGTGCATTAATGAATGAATCGCTGTCCATGGAGTTCAGCGTTTCCAGATGAGCAGAACGTGAAGATAAGCATGTAAATATTATGCCGTATCTTCTGACAGTCTTGCGACCTTCTTTGATGTAGAACGGTCCGAAAACATCCATACCCGAATAAGTAAATGGTGGAGCAGGTGTCACACGCTCTTCTGGTAGATCTGCCATCTYCTGGTTTTGCAACTTGCCTCTTTCTTTGCGACACGTAACGCATTTGCTGATGTGAGATGTAACAGCAGATCTTCCGTTGGTGATCCAGAACCCTGACTGTCGTAGGGCATTGAGAGTTGTACTTCTACCTTGATGGTGGATGACTTCACTGTGATAGTGATTGATGATGAGAGTCGTCACATGACTTCTTTGGGGAAGGATTAGAGGGTGCTTCACTGCAAATGGTTCATCTGTCGTGGTGATCCGTCCTCCAACTCTGAGAAGACCATCTTGATCAATGAACGGGTCGAGGCGAAACAATGTGCTCTTTGCTTTCAACTTAGTATTTCGGGCTCTTGCGGCATTACGATCTTTGAAACGGTCTGCATTTCCTTGAAGCTGTTTAAGGATTGTCCTTTCCTCTTTAAAATGTTCTTCTTGTAGATTTCTGATTATAAGCTGTTCTGCGGTTTGCAGGTCCTTGACAGATGTATCTATGGGTAGACAGTTGACTTCTTTCTGCGAAATGTCGACTGATGGACTTTTCTTTTTCAATCTGTTGATACCTCTTCGTATCGTGGAGATCCATGACTTCGCTTTGTGCCAGTTTGAAAAACGTTCAATGTATTGAAGAACAGTTGGATGTTGATCTTTGGCCTTTGCAGTGATGAGGGTAGTGGCTTGCACTTCCTGATAATGGACCTTTACCTCGATGTCGTCATCAGCTACATTGAATCTGGAACCGGATTGGTTGATCAGAGGAACCTCTGCTTCCCAAAGGAACGCTGGGCCTTTGAGCCATCTAGGGTTGTCGAGAAGTTTTTGCGCTGACATCGATCTTGATGCTTCGTCTGCAGGATTTTGGCTGCCTTGGATGTGATGCAAACAATAGTTGCCTTCTTTGTTAATTTTCTCTGCAGTTTCATACAGGAATTTGATTGTCTTGTCTAATTTTGTGTCTGGATGCCTATATACCACGCCACAAACAATATTGTGTTGATGGGGGATCTCAAATTCAACCCATAAAGATTCAAATTCAGATTCTGTATGGCAAAGGTCATTTCTTATGGTGTAAGAATAGTTATTGTTGATATAGAATCCAACACCCCCTGCGTTAGAGTGAGCTGGCTGAAATATGAAACTATAGCCAGGAAGATCAGTGTTCGTATACGGATCCATCCCTACCTTAATCTTGATTTCTGGGAGACCAATAATCGAGAAGGAATCATTTAAATCATTCAATAAATGATTAAATTGATAAAAATTAGCTGCAAGACTTCTTATATTAAGGTGTAGAGCAGAAAAGGCACTGTCAAATGAAGATGAATTGATGGGGCCACGTGAAATTTGCACAATGACGTCACATGTCATCAAGGGTTTCTATTTAATATTTTTAAAACTAAAACTAGAGCAATTTCATTGAAAAGCACGGAACCTTGCCAAATTGATGAACTTGATACATAGAATATTCCTAGTTCTTTCTCAGTTATGCTATTACATATATGACGTCAAATATTACGTCATACCATGCTATCACGATTTTTTTAAGATAACCCTCTGCTGATGACAAAATTACAATAGATGTATTTAGCAAACGGGAGGCGGCGCAAAAACAGGTCATTAGATTAAGATTTTATCACACTTTTTCGTTAGGACTACCTCGAAAATGTCGTGGCACTATTTTCAGGAGGTCAATTCGACTGTTCTCGTGTTCATTTAGAACAAAATTCACGTGTGGCTTCCATTTTAATGTCGGGTCGTGTGTGAAATTAGGACCTTTCACAAT